TACGTTACATCGGGTCTATTGCCGCCGACATGTCTGTCAGTGATAATGGAGCGATCCCAGTAGAGTGTGTCATCACTACTTTCAAGCACATTCTGAGGCACATATTTATAATACAGCACGGAAGTGGCGAGTAAGCTCGTTATCAATGCCAATAATTGGTGGACCTGCTTCGCCACTTCATCATGCCTCTTATTATTATTATTATTATTATTATTATTATTATTATTATTATTATTATTATTATTATTTCATTATAGACCTACAATAACTCTTTCATATCGCAAGCTCATGATAGGGAAGATTCATCATCGTGATTTAGATACAATGTGATGTTAATTTGAATTGGTTCAGAAGTTTGTATATGGTGACTCTCAATACGAACATCGTCTTTGAAGAGCATATAGGAAGGAATTGGAAATGAAGCATCACTATACCCAAGTTTAGTTGAGCTCTCCTATTGCCAGTTGTGATTAGAGTAGTGTCGGGTTACTATTTTCTTATATATAAATACTGACAACTCAATACTGTAGTTCGTTTACCAATGCAAACAATTTTCTATATTTCGAGAGCAAATATGGCTATTTTCAAAGGTTACTAAACCTCGCATTGTTGGTACTTTCATTGCTTCATTAAAATATTTATGGTTAAAAGGTCATGGGGAAGAGATTCCAGGGCTGAAGAAAACGTGCGCAGATTGTACCTCTCCCCCATACATCACATACAGCTTTTACTCTTCTTTGATAAAATAAATCAAGGAGTGCTATCAGTGGTCAAGAGTCTGCTCATTATTTAACAGTTAGAGGACGATTGAAATAGAACACAAAGAACTGATTGAAAATAAGATTTGTCCTACTAGTATAATTAACAGAAATATAGGATATACAATTTTGCAAAATAATAGTACTAACAATAATACATATTGCAATACTAACAATCGTGATTTTCAAAAAATATTTTAAACATATCAAGAAAATGTATTGTGTGATATTTTAACTAAAGATATTGAAACCTTGCATAAGTAGTTTTTTTGGTTTTAATAGCCCGTAGCTTCTTCTGTTTTACAAGTGTGTAATTAGTGTTATAAAACGCTAATGTCATTGACAATTCAAACATTTTTCTGCATTTTATTAATTAAAATAATGACGGCGTAAAAAATGCTCCTTTAAGAAAAATTTTAAGAAAAAAATTATGTTAATATAATTAAGACTTTTTCCAAAATAATAATTTCAGTAAAAAATCAGTGATTTACATCATGGAAACCCTCTTCAAGTTGCTTAAATTTTATCATATTTATTGATTTACACATGTCAATCAAATTACGTTTGACAAATATCATGAAGACGTTTCAGAATCATTGATGCTATTTTTTTAAAGTAACCCTGTGAGTGGACGTGATATACTCGGGGTTCAAAATTTGTTTATCATTATCTTAGCGAGGCGAATCAACAGTAATACCTTTAGCCCTACTTTCGGAAATCTAACCAGAAAACGCGATCAAGATACACATACTAAATGATTCTTGTTGCGAGAACGACTGAACGTGAACTCATCATGACCTTCCTCGTGGTCAGGAAAGGCAGGATAAATCAGGTTTTGGAACTACTCGCTGCGTCGTTATCGCTTATTAGAACCCACGTTGTCGCCAGGGCAGTTTCTCTTTTAAGAGGTTTTGAGTGGTTTTCGACCTGTTAAACGCCGAAACGTGTAGAATTATGTTAAAGAAAGACGTTGAAATGGTTCCTTCAATACTCCAATAAGTCGCAATTGTTGAACAATAATAAAATAGTTCGTATAAGGAGAGAGTTTGATAAGTCCGAATCGAATGTTGCGGCGGTAAAATATTGATAAACGTTTTCTAGAATTTTTTTTCTATACTGCCACATTCGTTTTCGTGTGGAAGCTATCGTAGTCCTTTACAATCTTCTTAAATCAGGGATTTAAATTAAATTTTGACGCAGTCGTAATATATATTTAGATACCTACGTTACAAAAAGATGCGAGGAATTTAGACATTTTAAAGCGTTTATATGTTAATATTTTGTGTTAAGTAACATGAAATAGTATTTTATGTGCATCACTTTACTGGGCAAGGCAAAGAATAATAGTCAAATTATTTTTCAAGATCAAATATATGACTAAAGGAATAATCTGCTTTTAAGAACGTGGCGTTACAATATATTTCGAACATCTTTTGCAGTAATGCCGCCATGCTATCAGAACATAATTTTACTGGTTTTTGTAAGAAAATAGTTAATATCTATCTAAAATTTAAAGGTATTTCTTTTTATTATTTAAGAATATACACACCTCCCCAGTTGTTTATTTCATCAAAAACAGACAAATAGAACTCAATAAATAAATAAATTAAGAAATATATTTTATCGCAGTCTTTCAACACACAAAATATATATATTTTAATTTTGAATGCTGCGTTGTATGTTCACAGTTACCTGTCCACGTTTTATGTCTCCTTTGGAAACGATTCAATTTAACAGGTCTTTCATCTGTCCTACTCATGCAATTTTAGTCCATGACCTCTGATTAAAACTTACAAAAAATGTAACAGGAAAGTAATAAGCCGTCTTGTAAACCTGATCTGGATCTTGTCCAGTTCCCAAGGTTCTTAAGAGTATATTCTGGGATGCTCTCTCGCTTCCAAATGAGGACGTAGAAGGTTTATCGCCCTTTCCTTTCCCATGGAGCCGGAGTACTGTGTAGCCCAGCTAAAAAAATTCTCTAAACATGAAATCAAAGTTTTATTGGGACCAAAAAATATGCAAAACTTGAATTGAGAATAGCCAATACATTCAGAATGTAGTCATCATTTATCAAAGACTTTTATATAGAGGTATTTAACTTAATACCTTTATTACATTTAAATAGTTAGCAATTAGTGGATAACAAGACTACTTACGAATAATTATTACTCCAGCATGAAGCACAATAATTAATAATCATTAATATAATGGTGATAAAATTCAAAATTTTGCGAAAGATAAACGTTCCTTAGCAGATATTATTTTTGAAGTTCATTAAAAACTCCGTTCTCACTCAGTCACTCACTCATTAATCGTTCTCCAGTTCCTTGCGGCAATAAGTTGTTTCCCTCCCGAAGGGCACGATGAGGGAAAATGTGTAGCTGATTTGCCTTTACAAATAGTTTTTATTACACGGGAGAAAATATTTTATTATCCAATCTTGCCAGAAATGCCCGTTTTTACAGGTATTCATAATTCCACTTATATGATTAGGGCAGGGATCTCACTCCTGAAAACGGATATAGAATACACATTTCCAAAAGTACGTCACACACTGTTAACGTTTTTAAAGTTAATAATTAAATAAAAATAAATAAAAATAATGAAATAAATAACTTAATGATTAAACACATTATCCTTTACCCTACAAAAACAAGTATTTTGTTTGGTTAGAAAACATTCGCATGTTTAAAATATTAAACTTGCTTGTGAAATCTACGTGAAAATTAGCTGTACAAAAATGCGAAGTGGATTTGGTTTCGGATGATGAGATTTAATTGCATGTAAAGACAGGATATTTTTTCCATTAACTTGTGGTAGCGTGTGAGATATTTTACTTCCTGTCAGAGAGAATACTTCTTTTTCATAAATTTAATAGCTCGTCCTATCCAAATTGGTGGTCTGAAGGCGACTTTCATTCCTGGCTCCTTGGGTATCTTTTTATAACCTCAGGCGGAGCGTCCGCTTGCCTTGGACACGAACGTTGGAAACGAGACTCCACAGAAACGGTTAGGACTTCAAATAGGAATCTGGTCGACGTTATCGTCGCAAAAACCAACGGACACTAATTCAATTACATTCGGATAAGATCAGTCGGTATTTCTCACAATGAACGTGTGGTTGAAAGTTACAGGGCTTCGATGCTCTTTCTAATGAATAAAATAAATGAAATACCCAGGAAAATTAGCATGCATTATAACAATTATTATAAAGAAAAAAAATTATAGCAGTGACAATAATAATGTCTTTAATAATGACGTACCAAATGCCATAACGCCTGGCTTCAAAGTAATTAAGCATCTATGATATTTATATATCTAAACGCTCTTCAACGTACAAATTGTGATAAGGAAAGTAGTGAATATTTTATACGGAGTCTAGTATTTTCATAGAACCTACATTATGCAAAACCTCTCGGAAAAAACACCTTTCTTCTTATTTTGTTTCATAGGAAAACTAGTGCTGAAAATGTATCGCCAATAATCCAATTACACTTTACCACTATTCAGAATAATGTAATGTATTAGTTTATCAAAAGATTGCTAAAGTTAGAAGCAGGTTACATTTGTATGACTTATAAGATGTCCTTAAATAAAATTGCTGTACTCCGTGGTTATTCCCACATAATTCAGTTTGCACATCCTTATATACAAAAATAATAAATGTCAATTCTATGAATGCTTGGGACAAATAAATTATTATGGCATTCGTGTCGCTTATCACGTCAATAATTCTCACAACAACAACAATAGCATTGCCTCTGGCCCGAAGAAAGGAAGCAACGTGGGCGGAGAGAAAGAAAAGAAGGAAAAGGAGAGGAAGCAAAGAAGATGAATATTCTCTTTATTGACTCCGCTGTAATGTTATACTAGTGGTGAATTAACCAATTAAACCCACATGTATTTTTTCTCGAAGATAATAAAACCATTATATTGAATAGCATCGTCGACTTTCAAGTCCGGAGTCAATAGAAGATAATTTATCCATCTGCATCACGGCCTACGAGTCCGGAACATTTATCTTTCATTGAATTAATGTTTATGAACATTACTTTCTCAACACCCAACAAAAATGCAGTCTTCCTCCTTTGTTTCTCTAAAGCTACAAAAATGTTCAAAGTCATCGATTCATTTGGTCAGACGCCCGTAATATTTTGTCAATCTCTTCGTAGGTTAGTTAGCTTCCGTCGGTTTATTAACTCTGTCTTGAATTGTTGGCAATTCAAGGCTGAGTGTTGGAATAATGCCAAACGTCGCTAAGAAGGAGGAGGAAAGAGGGATTGATGTGCAAAGTGATCTTAGGTAAGATTAAGAAACTAAATTGTCAAAGAAAAGAAACATCTTGTTGCATGTCTGAGTCTAAGTGACCCATTCACCACAGATGTGTCCACATTACATTGCAAGCGTTATTCTGATTACCCGTTTTTATACTAACGAAGGGTCTCTTAGACTCATTTACAACCGGAAGGTTAGGTGGTACCTCTCAAACCACGAGGCCCGCCCTTCTGTCTAACTACTACAAAAGGAATAGACTGCTATAATATTTATTTCTTATGTACAGCACTAAATTGTTTACCTTTTCGTAGTTAAAGTAATATCTAATCTCGTTTAATTCTTTGGTCGTAATTTTAGTAATCCCGTTACAAAGTATTTAAACTTGGGGTACATTTTGTTTTATCTAAAGCATGTTATCAAATTTTTGTAGGTTCCACGTAGATTCGTACAGGACATATATCGCTAGGTACATTTTTATACTTCCAGCATTTGATGCAATGTACAATTTTCTGAAAGTTTGGAAAAAGGAATTCTGCGATGTATTTCTATAACTGTAGTCGCATAGAATATAAAATAAGCGATGACCAACCCATTACATTTTAATTACAATTTAAAAATTAGTGAAAGTGTTTCTAATTATATTGTTTATCACTTTATATATTTTCATACTTTGTGAATAACTTTGTGAAGAAAAACATTGCCCTCTTAGTATTTTATATTTAGTCATTAGAGCAACAAAAAATAATACGTAGAGATCTAAGCAATAACTGGTGAACTAACTACTAAATACGCGACCGATAGATCCCACAACTATTATATTTGTCTTTATGATGTAAAGGTGTGTAAGAATTTCAGGCAAGCGGAGGCAGATATTACGAGCTCTCTATTGACAATATCATTTTTACTTGTCTCTTTTAAGTAGCAGCTCTTTGAAAGTCAGAATAATTATCCAACAATAATATATACGGGGCCAATTCAATCAAGTACATATATTGAACACAATGGCTGTACAGTGGGACTGTTACCTGCCAATTCTCCAGCACCGAGCTTCGAAACTTCTCGGCTGAAAGGTCGTCCTACTGCCCCGACGGCGTTCTGACCCATTAGCAAGATCTCCACAAAAAGGTTGCGAAACGCCGACACCATAAACACGTATCCTGCGCCGCCTTTGAGGGGAAAGGGTCGGCAGGACCGGGCCTTCTCCTCTCTCACTCGTTCGTGTTCTCTAAAGGAGGTTAAAATTCCTTTCTGGTCGGCAGTGCACTCCGATATCGGAATACGGAGACTTCAATGCGCGATGACACGACGAACTCAAGAATGTCTCGCGTACTTACTCTTGAAGAAATGAATCGTTACGAAATTCAAAACATTGCAATATAGTCCCTGTATTTTTTATTTTTTTAAATTTTATTTCGGGAAGATAAACTGTTGGCTAAACTCTTACGGGATGAAAGAGCTTTTATTGTGGTGAAGTCACGAGCCTGCTTCGATTCGAGACGCTAGTCGGAGTGTAACTGAGAGTGGAACTGACTGAATATAGAAGAGAACTTCATGTCTCCCTCAAGATAAAGCTACGTGTAAGGCATGTAAATGCCTTTGAACAGACAGTCTGAAAACCTTAACATTCACTAGTATAGCCTGACGTCGTCTAGGCTACTGCAACGAACACATTATTTTCCTTGGTCTCAACAAAGTAACTTGCCAAAGAAATTTGTCGAACAATTCGTGCTAAAATATTTTACTCAGAAATGTGTTGTAGTGGAATGTTTCATGTAGGGGATGAGATGACAGCTAACCTGGGTAGTCGAGGACGTTAAGGTGGTCGCGTCTTAGCAGTCTCGACCTGAAGGTTCGCTGGTTCAAATCGCACAGTCGGCCACGGATGTTTGCTTGTGTGTTGTGGCAAATCGGAGCGACGATCTTGCATGATGTCTGAACCTGGAAGAAATAGGAAAAGACACTGAGAGGTCCTATGATAAAACAAGAGCCACTGAAACATTTCTGAAAGAAACAAAATAAACCAAATTTATTTCGACAACTGAATGGAATTTCCTTCTTAACAAATACGATTGTTTTGGTTGTGTATTTCTTAAATTTTGACTTGCCATTTGTCTATAAGAATTCAGTTAATGACCGTGCAGCTTTACGCTAATTTTAAAAAAAATACTTATGTATAGGAGTAATCAACCTGTTGTGAAAAATACTTCCCTTGCCCCAATTAGAATTTGGACTGCTGTCCTCCAGGTTGTCTGTTTCGTTGTAGAGTATTTATCTTACAAAATATAATAAAATTTACTTTAAAATATTTAATCATATCATACTGAGATTCGCGACACAGGCAAGAACAAATGTGGAAGAATTATTCTCGTTGACTGGTTGATTATTTAGTGTTTTCGAGCGCGCCAGATACAACGGCTACTCCTGTAAATGTAACGCATGCTATGTCCCGGGAGCTGGCGCTGTTCCTCTCTGCAGGTACACGAGATCCGGTCGCGACCTGCACGTCGGCTTGCGAGGTTGCATCCTCCAATTACCCCCAGGTGGTATCACCACTGCTGGGGAGGCTATAAGCCCCTGACTGGTCCTGTGATATGTGTGGTAGTAGAGAGTAAATGTGTGTACGAGTGTGTAAGGGGAGTGAAGGAGACCGAGGTGAAGATTGCACGTGACCCGTATTGTTAAAGAAGTGCTTCGGCGTCCGCCTGTTGATCGGATTACCGCCGCGTCTCCAGCCTCAGGTCTCCGGTCAGAGGCAGAGCGGGCGGGCGCGGGGCCGCGCGGGTGGGGCGCGGAGGGCAGGGTGGGGGCGGGGAGCAGTGGGGCCGCGCGGCCGCGCAGCCGCGTCAGTTCGCGCTTTCTGTGTGCCGCAGAGGGCGGGATGCTGAGGTGCGGACGAGCGACTGGACCAGCGCGCCTGCCGTGCTGAGCGCTCGCTGCCGCCGTCGCCGCCCCCGCCCCCGAGGATGCGCTGCTGGCGCCGCGTGCGTCCGCTTCACGTCAAGGTGGTGCTTTTGGACGAGCAGGAGCTCATTCAAGAGATGCAGGTAAGGCTGCGCGGCGGTGAACGTTCAAGTATCGTACTTCCTCTGGTTTGACATACGAGTATACTTACGAGTATGACACATAAAGAAAAGACATGGGGTCTTCTCCCCATTATATTTACTTGGCAAAAATCCGAAATTAAAGTGTTCGTGATAAAAATGGTAGAATCAGTTTGTACTGCAAAATATTGATGATAGGGCGAGTGTTGATGATGGTAGAACAGATACACAAGGAAACGATAAGCAATTGAGCACAACATGAGAAATTGTTTTGAATGCTTTTCACCTGCCTTAAATTGCACATGGTGCAGTTGACATTTTTGGGCACTGTATGATGAGCCGTAAGTGAGTACTGTTACCGCTCCGCGCAGCAATTGGTTATCATGTTCTTGAAATATTAAGATAATTTATCACGAACTCCATTAATACGTGCTAGGCTCCCAAATTTATTTTTAAGCTATTCGTATATGTCTCCCTGAGATAAAATACAGCGTTGTAACATGGCATGAAGGTTTATCAAATAAGGCGTATAATTTGTGAAAATATACCTAACTTTAGTTGCAATCAAAATGTCTTACAACGCAGTGACGTAATATTACCCTACGGGCTACATACATGCATCCTCTTCACTGTTTCTTTGGGAATATTTGTTATGACAGCGTAACTGATATGAAAGAGTAGCTTATTGAAAGGAAAATTGAATTTGGAGATTCACATTTATACGGTTATGAATGGCACACAGATCACGATTGTATTTCCAGAGATGTTTTTCAATTGTTCAGAAAGTAAGAGTAGAGCATTTCATTAACCATAAACGGTACATATAGACTGCAATGAGCAAAAGCACGAGCATGGGAAGATTCGGACTGTGTCCCTCTACGTGCATCGCTCTTGCATGTTGGGTTTGTACACCTACACACACTGCAGAAAACAATGGTACCTGCAGTTCTCAAGAGATAACGTGATATGTATTATGTAACATTCGATTTTTTCTCGTCATTTGGAGAGAAATGTGTATAAGCACAATAAATGGCAAAAAACTTCGTCAAAAATTTAAATTATTATTTTCTACTAGGGAAGATACTTTTAACTAACGATCTATGTATTTACCCGTCGTCTATAGACATAAATTCAGTTCAAATATAGTACAGTCTTCTTATGATGTCTTAATTGAATAATATATATTACAGAGGTAACTAAAGACTGCATAACATATCGTATGCAATTGTTGCCAGGTTTCTGTAATTTGGGTTGAAAATTTCTGGTGTCACTCCTCAGAAACTCGAGTATTTTTAGAACTACGTACTAATAAATTATTATATTTATAAATAGAATATTTTAATTCCGATTCAACAGAGGTGGGAGCAGTTCTTTAAGTTATTCTGTAACCGTCATAGTTTATCACTATTATTATTAAACTTTAAACGAGTTTTATTGTGCCGTGACGTTCCAACGATCGTAGGTGATTATGTGACGTGTGTAGGGGTTAAGAAAAACCATACCGTTTAATTAAGAAAATCAATTTAGATGTAACTGAAGTATATTTTTTATTAAATTCAATTCAATCTGCATAATTTCTTTTAATTTGTAATGTATGAATGCCTCCGCTGATTTAATGTCCTAGGCCGCCTTCGGCAACTGTATTTAAATAAATCGGTCTCATGATAAGTAAACTAAAAGCGAACTTATTTGAATCAAATAGCTCGAAATCAGAATTTCGTACCGCGTTTTGCGCAGCGCTCTCAAGTCAAAATAGAAATTTTTTGTGTTAATCATGCTGCCTAAGGACAGATCCACGTTCTCGGACATACATTTATAATTATCATATTCCTCTTTCTCAACGAGAAATTGCTGGCGGCCCGAACGTGTCGTTCTCTTTTTTGAACATGTGCCTCAGTTGAGAGGCATTATCACGTCAAATAATTTGCACACCTTTTTACTTAAATTGGTTTCACTTTCTTAATGATTATAACTGGGCTTCTCGTCTCTCGCCGGCTCATTACACACTTCTAACTTTATGTTACGCTTTCAAAACAATCTTCAATTCCAAAATGTGAATGGACAGTTAGGAAAAATTCACCTTTTTACTGAATCTCTTACAATAACTGTTGTAATTGTTGTAACAATTATTGTGAGTTATGTTATGATGATTCAGTTGTGCAAAACTGCGCATTATACCGGCAAGTTAATGCATTAGAGGAACGTATTAAGAGCTATGCATATTTGCACATAATTGTCTGCATTAACAGATTTTTCTAACGCAATTGGTTGTATCAATGCAAAAACACGAAATTGATTTTTGAATACACTTCATTTTGCACATCCATTCCATAAGACAGTACAATTCAAAACATAATATTGAAGAACTCTTAGTGTGTTCTTAAAATCATAGAACGCACCTTAATATTTTCATTTATCACTAATTTTGCGCATCAAAAGCAAGTACTTTATTAGCGGCGTCAAGCTTGACTTTCTCCCAAATATTTTTTTTATTATAGGCCAACTGTTGAAAAGTGTTTCGCCACAACCCTGACTTCCCCCCAAATATGAGGAACCATATTTCACTCAGCAGGGAAACGTGGGGTACTCACGCAACGGGAGTTTCTTGAAAGGCGTGTTTCATAGGGTGGAGTTTCACAATGGTTAACGACGTGCACATGAATACAATATAATATATTTTCGAGAACAGTTCAATGTAAATATAATAGAAGAAAATGGATCTTTACGCGAATCATTCATAAGAACGTTTATTTTCAAGCCATAGTAAAACTCGTACTTGGCGTTTAGAATATATAGGTACGTAGTCTTTACACTGATTACGTATCTCTACACTAGTGACTTTTTATTCTTAGACATTCGTTAGGACATACACATTAACAGAAAGTTGTTTCGTGTTATTCAGAGCTTCTCCACTCCCTCCTGTCAGACGCAAAACACTATGTTTCATTCTGTAACGTGCCGCATAATAAGCAGCAAACGAGTCTTCTCAGGATACTCTCGACAGCTCACAGAACGACCGAACCTGATCAGGCGGAGACGGATGTTTTCTAACGACGGGGTAGAACTGCACGGAATGCTGTTGCGGAAGTCGAGCAACCTTCTTGGTGTTCCGTTTTCAGTATCGTTAAGAGCACCATCTCGTGGCTTCTCTCGTCTGTAATTAAAGATGAGATGTTTCGAAAAGAACTATTCTATTCGCGCAATTAGCACCAGAACACAGGAGACCTGAATGCGGGAACAAGCGATAACACGGTATAATAACAAGGTACTAAACAAGAGTAGCGCGTGGGGACAAGGGGCTCAGATGCTTCCAAAGATATGCTTGCTGAAATGCTGAAAGTGGCGTAGGAGAAACTACGATGTGACAAGTGACTGTGTACATCGTTCTCATCACGAAATGTTGACCCGTACATGAACATCAACGTTTTGATTTATATTTGACTGTGTCAAAACCGTGGCAAAGGTAGTGACTACATCAGGAAGGAAGATCCTCTAAGATAGGGACTTCGAAATCACTCTAGATTGGAGATTTGCATCAAAAAGACATTTGAGGGCATGAACACGAAAGTAGTTCGGTCAATTGAAACTTGCGAGGGATATCAATGAGATAACATAAATTTCTTTCGACGAATTCAACACCCATAATTCCATTTTCTTTACTGAAGCTTCAATCGGTTTTCGAATGTAAAACGGATTAACATTCAGAGCGGTACATAAACACACAAGAGGAAGTACAAAAATGAACATCTAGAAGTGTCTGTACGGAGGGTAAAGTCTTTGTAGAAAATTTAAGAATCAGTACTCTACAAAATATTCACGACGTTGAAAGGCAAGCTGACTAACGGGCAGGGCCGTTTCCGTGGGAAGCAAAGGAGTTCCCATTCGCAGGAACTAAGCTAACCCCGCCGACGCAGTCGAGTCGCGTCGGCGAGGAGGGAAGCTTGTTGCATGGCTGCCAGCGAGTCTTCATCGTGGTGTACCGAGTTTTTCCTACTCCTGTTTCCGCGTATAAAGTCATGTACGAATGGTTTTTTACGTGACTGAATAGCCTTTTACGGATCTAATTAGGAACTTCGACGCTAATGAGAGAACGCCAAATAGAGAAATATCCATTTGAACATTATGGATTATAAAATTTCCTGATAACATGTAATATTTTGAATGGAAACTGATATATCGGTAATATAATGTTTGCCTCTTTTGTTATCAGTTTAAAGTAAAATATTATATAATGAACATTATGTTTAGCCGAAAGAAAAATGTAGTTTTTTGTAAACTTAATGAAAATATTGGTATGAAATAAGGGTTCAAGAGTATTTTATTATATTGATGTACATTTTCAGAACATGTCTGATAGAATATACTTTCAATGGCACTAAAAACAAATTCTTTTCATACTAACATTCGCATTCATGCTTCCTGTGTTAAATTGTGTTTTTTTGCAACACATCTAATCAGTTGAATATACTTTATATTACACTATATACTCTTGACTTGTGTAATATGAACCAACGAATTCAAAGCTTTACATCTGTCAAGAAATAAGAGATGCAAGGTTTTATCACAACATATTTTTCCGAATATTTTTTATCACCTCGACAAAAATGCTTTATTGTTTATGTTGATTTTGCGTTATATTGCCACTGAATTAAGTGCATTTATTTCTCAGTAGAAATATTTTTCATGTCAGCTTCTACAGTCATACTTGCAGTCCATCTTTTACTGAAATTGAGACTAACGTATTGCAATTTTTTATATTGTGTGCTTGCATGGTAAATGACGCTATTTCCAATATGTGGAATATATCTCCAAAGCATTCTTAATATAAGCGAACCGAAGTGGTTTAGAGAGAAATCATTGTCTTCACTTTTCATTTACTTATTTACATTAAACTGTGTAGAGTGGAGATTGTATTCTTTATATTTTAATTATTATCGCCCGCGGCATGGACTTATGAATAGCACTTGTGATAAACGCATATCGCTATTTTCAGAGCACACTTAGTAAAACTTCTGATATTTTTTGTTTATCACGTTGAGATTGTTCCGGTGAACATATTTATATCCTAGTCTCGCACAAGGAGAAAAGCTGAAGAAATGGGAATTTAATTTCCAAGAAACGAGACATTTCGTCGCAACGGTTCGCTTCGCCCGAGGAAGCCGCCTCATGCTCACGCGGAAGGCAGCGGCCACGGGCGCAGAGACATCAACGACCTGTTAGACGACGAGCCCCGGGCGGCCCGGGCGGGCGCGAGTCAGCTGCGAGCGGCGCGCACGACCACGCGCGCAGAGCGGCGCAGAGCGGCGCAGAGCGGCGCAGAGCGGCGCAGAGCGGCGCAGAGCGGCGCAGAGCGGCGCAGGTGGAAGCGGCCCAAGGGCGCCTCGACAGGTGTCCGGAAGGGCGCGGGGCGAGCGGAAAGGGTCTGTGCAGGGGTGCACGCCGTCCCGCTCACGGTTGAGCGCTCGGGCGGGACTTGGAGGGGCGGAGTCCGCTACGAAAGGGAGGCCCACGCCCGCAGGGTAAAAGTTGATTTTCCCCCTCTCATTTTCCCCCTAAACGCAGAAGAAAAAGAGGGCCGGGAGTGAAGAGTATCGTGTATGCATGCGGTATTCGGAGGCACGTTGATTTCTCTCTTTTCATCGTGAAATGGATGTAAGGGATCCAGAATAATTGGATGAGAAGAGAGCGAGAGCCGTGTTAATGTGCTGGTTACTGCATATTTCTGTTCAAGGAAGGCGTGGGAAGGTCGTAGCTCTGGGACCTACATTAACGTGCCAATCGAGCATTCACTTATATCGAAAACGCTAAAAGAAAATACGTAGAAACACTTCATTTTGAGAAACCATTTTTCACAGAGACGCATATATTAACTCAAGAATTACTGCCAATAGTGGAAACAAAATTGTTACGCTTAGCTAATAAAAAATGTATAAAGTATTAATGGAAAACACTTCCCAAACTGTTATGTCGTATGTATTTATTATTCATGTTTATAGATGCGAAGAACCTCATTAATATTCGTGTTGTCTCAGATGGCCAAATCACAACCAGAATAATAGGTTAACGGTGTCAGCAGAATAATTCGTTTAAAATGAAAACAATTTTTTTCACAAATATAGATCATATGCAGTAATCACTTTCCGATCATTAATCACATTATCTTGATTTGATTAACACAAAGTCAATTTGATACATTCATTTCGTCATATGTTGCATACCAATATCTCAGTACTATGGAGACATAATATTCCTTTAACATACTCTTTGTTAAAAGGTTTTAGCTCTGGAAATAATGGTTCAGAAACTGTGGGAGTCTATTCTGGAAGTTAACACTAATTTTGTATTTTGAACTTATCATTTAATTTACTGATTATTTCAAATGCTATATATTACCAGTAGCATCGTTCACCAGAAAATCCTAGGGTTCTAGTCCCGACGGTGGTGAATTTTCAACACCGTCGATAACTACTCGTATGTATCGATAGCTGTGTAGCAGGGTCGAATTCAATCACTGCCTGGAGGGGTGTTCTAGCGATCAACTGCTCTGATTGATAGTTTTCTGAGGTTTCTCCAACCAATATCAGATGAATACTGGCGGCGTTCTCTAAGAACGGGGTCATGGGTCACGAGTGAAGAGACCTGCGAGCTGACGTGAAGGTCTGCGTTTGATCTCACGTTCCAGCTGAAGAGAAACACTGTCACTTCCTGGTATATAACAAGCTATAACATGTTTTTCACTTTCAGGACCAATGATCTCAGTAGTTGACACGCCCGAAATCAATAGTTATTCACTCACTCTCTCACAAGTGAAATAGATTAAGCATTTTGTTGTTTATAATAAACAATTATTTTAGTAAAAACTTTATGAACCAGCGTACAACACTACCAAAACTCGCCGGAAGACCAGTCGGGAGCTTAGAGCTTGTTCCGAATGCGGTGGTGCCACGCTGATGGGAGATACCTAGTTGGGGATAATCCGTGCAATCCGGATCTCGCCATCCTGCGGGGAAGATCACCACCTCTAACCGAGAAAAACATACACTACACTCACGAGACTCCTGCGCTAGCGGCCGACGCGCCCGGAATCACCAATCAGCCAACGAGCGTCATTTCACCACTTTCGCTTTGTCAGTGCTCTTGAGCGAGGGTCGGGGCAGCGCGCGCCCGAGTTGGCGGCCGTGGCCGTTGCCGCGTCCTGGCAGCGCCGGCGCCGAGGTGGGGCGAACCAGGCCCATTTGGCTGAGAGGCAATTAGGTCGGCGACTGTCCGTGCCAGTGTGCGTTCCAAGGCATCGTCTTGGAATTAACCTCTTAACTAGAAAGAAAAAGCATGATAGTATTGGTATTCTTCTTCTTAGGAAGGCTCAACAACATTACGATTCGTTAATTGTTTTGGTATATTCAAAAATGGCTTCGATCATTTTCTACTGTTCACTTTAACTATCCAGTTTTGAATCTTCATTTTCTAAAGATAATTTATTACATCTTCCGTCTTGTTTTAGGCTTTTCTTTTTGCTGTGGGTGCTCTTTGGGAGCCATAGTGCGCCGTCCTCGGGTTTTCGTTCGCAACCTATCATCTTTCATTCCATAGAAATGCCAACTTTACCTCAAAGCTCTATTATGATTTACAATATTTCTGTATTCAATTAGATTGTTCAGCTATTATTACATTTTATTCTTCAAACCCCATTTGATAGTTTAAATGGACAACAGATCCTTCTAAAAATTGTCCTAAAAAAATCATTAGCCTTTTAATGTCAACTTCTTCGTTTCTACTGCGCACGTATTACTGTCACATGGAGAGTTCATATTGCACTTTTAGATACCAGTTTACTTCTTGAAGAATAATTGGTATGCTTTATTATCACCTGTTATCCGTTCTTAACTTTCTTCTTCGATCTGATTATGTTTTGTGACTTTGGGCTACAAATACTTATATACGTGACTTCTTGGTAACTAACATTATCAATTGTTATATCATGGTGATTAGTTTTTTCCGGTTTGCAAGCCATTCGTTTTGTTTTATTATTATTATTATTATTATTATTATTATTATTATTATTATTATAGATATGATTTATTTTAAAATAACGAAATCTTTATAAGTCAATTTCGTCTTCGAATGTAATGAAATAAGTGTTAAAATATCTAATATGCAGTTATTGTCTAATGTTACCAATTCAGTTTGCTGTTAGAAAAATTGTATGAGGTCACTAAGTTCGTTTAAATATAAGCAAGTGGCCGAAAGTAAATTAAGTGTCGAAATGTCTTATAACGAAAAATTTTTAATTAAGAATTCGCTACTAGTAATCAGTGAGATATCTATCCTTTCGTGAGTACAGATTTAGAATGTTTCATAGATAATCAAAACTGCTTGGTGTCGTCGTAAATATATTCAAAGTCGGTGAGCAATTTTAAAATTAATTTGAAGTTTCTCAACTGTTATTATTTGTGCAATATCTGTACTCATGACAAACTACGCAGAACTTCAGTGACATTGCTGATCTTGCGCAGAAACAACACATGTAAAACGGCAATACAGCGCTGCCAGCGCATAGTAAGCAAATTTAAGGATTTTCATATGTTAACACCATTTGTAAGGAACAATATTGCTTGTTGAACCTGTTAATTTTACGAGCACCTTGGGCAAATAGAATAGGGACGTAATAGAGAAACACATATCACAGCCATGTTAAACAAGAAATATCTACCGAGCTGAATCTCGTTCAGAGAACGCTGTCTCTGTAGTGACAACATAGGCAAGTAGTAGAAAGCGAAAGCGTAAGTTGGACGTGATCATGTGATTTGTAAACATGGCGTGGCAATTCCGAGAACAAGACATCCTCATGTAAGTTTATAACGGAAAGCTGATAACGGACATTTCTTCTTGTCCTAAAGTAATTCAAAGACAATCAAAACATTAAAACAAGACTTGTAGACGTATCATTGCTCTATACGGATTGATATTTGATAGACATAAATGCACGAGGGGAGTATCGGTTAAGAATTACGAAGAACCTTTAGAGTACAGTTCTAGTGAGTGGCAATATTGAAACTGAAAATCCAAGGGCGAAATTTCCAATGCTGGATATAATAAAACGATTGATGGAAAATAAAAGATTGTTAATGGATACATTTAAGATTTGTTTTCAATAAAATTGCCCAGAAATATATAATCGCAAAGATACATGTAACCATTTCTTTTTTATTCCCCTCCCAATTAAGGAACTTATTTCAATACGACGTATCTCCATTTCCGATGGTTTTCTATTCTTACATATCAATACACACGATGAGAGGTGGAAAAAAATATACCAGCGTGTCCCTTTTAATATTAGTAATGAATAATTTCTTTACTGTTTTGACCTCCGAAGCATAGATTTCCGCAGAGAATTTTTGCTCCCTTAGACCGACACGCGGTGGGTAGGGCGAATACCGAATCTTTGGCGCTCGGCGAATCGCAAGCACCCCGTCCACAGTACTGGGGAGTCGAGTGGGAGCCGAATGCAGCTGAGTGGATCCGCCTCAAGGCGTGAACGAGCGGCTGACTCGAAGCAACACCTTTCGGGAGAAGCAGCGATGCAGAGATGGCCGGGGTGGAGACAGCGGGGGTGGGAACGGTGGAGGGGGCGTCGTCTGGCCGGCACGTGCACGGGCGAGCGGAACGCCACCGACACCGAGGCTTCGGGGGCGGGGGAGCCGCGGATCCTCCCATGAATCGGGAGGCAAACGCGTGAATGGCCGGCAGTGCACGCGATTGAATCACGCTGCAATTAAACAGGACTTGAATGACGCGCGGGCGGGAGCGGAAGGCCGAGGCCGCGGAGGCGGAGGCGGAGGCGCACTCCGCCGCCCCGCCACGACCAGCTCAGCTGACCGGCCTCCGCCGCGCCCCCGTCATCGCGTCAACGGCTTTTCGCTCGCACGTGGGCTCCGCACCGGCTCTCTTCCAGAGTAGAAATCTCCTCGAGAAAGAAAAAAAATATAAGTTGAAAGTGATGTGGTTGGCTGGGAATTTGAAGTGGAATTGGAACATTAATACACCGTTAGTAGCCTATGTTTCTCTCTCGGCCCTGCTTCTGCAAATTTTAGAGCAGCCCTGTAATTTGGATTCCTTGGGATGCGCGGCGGCGGGCGGACGGTGGACTTGCAGCCAGCGAGGGGGATGCGAAGAGGTGAAGGCGGACGCGGAGGTGGGTGCGGTAGCGGGGGGCGGAGCGGCGGCGGCGGCCGTTGCGGACCGCACGCCGCGCCTCTCGGCAGAGATTTCTTGTATACAAACACTGGTGCATCACGTTGCCGCGGCAATACCGTGAGGCGGGGCGTCTCGGCGGCGATATAAACATCACCGCCGGGTTCCCTCCAGGCCGCCGACCGCCCCGAGGCCAGTGCCCACCGCCGCCCGCAGCGGCCGCAGGGGGGCCCCTCGCGTCTACTCGACTTCTCGCTAGCCGCCTTATACCAGGATAACCCGGAGAAATGAACGAGTATAGCCAAATCCGCAGCGGGCGGTATAGACAGGCAGCGGCGTTCACCCACTCGCTCGCCGCGCCTCTCTGGCCCGCGCAGCAGTCTCGGAGCAGTCTTCGGCCTGGGGGACATTGGTCCTAAGCAACGACCTCAGACGAAGAGCCTCCGACACACACAGAGTCTGCCTAGGCGCGCACGGCTCCCCACCGGCGCTCGTGTCGCTTGGATGCGGGGGGAGGGGCCTAAGAGGGGCGGACGCTCGAGGCGGAGGCGCCATCCCAAGGGGGAGTAAGATGTGTGGGGGTGGCCGGCGTGTATTATGCTATGTACGAGATTCTTTGTTCAATGTGTGTGAACTCGCGGCATAGAAATATTGGGAGGAAGAGTGCATTGAGAATGTGAGGAAATGGGCGCGAGGATACCGGATTGTAAAATATCTTCTTTTCACCGAATTATGGCTCTTACCTGGAGAATTTAAGGAAATAATAATCAGAGCTTTTAGTTCCGCATGGGTCTAAGTGCCAAAACCATTCATTCTCGGCTTGT